CAGTGCCTCTGGAAACAGGGCAGCAGAAATCAGAATAAGAAAGAAGCCAGAGAGCACATCACCAAAAGATGTACTAAATCCGGTTAGTCATAAGGCGCTTAATTTGCCTGACTTCCAAAAATAGTTGCCAAGTTGTTCTCAAACTTGAGTTCTCTGAAGGCAGGGGTGTTACCTAGCTGCACCTCAGTGCTGCTACAGAGAAGGTGCCTGCATTTTAATTTAGCATATGTACTTCTTTAATTCTCATATAAATTACAGTAGTTGAATTAGTATAACACTGTGCTCTGTAATCATACATTTTTATCCTTAAACTAGAAGCCTGGTGCAGGAATTCATGCACGGGTGGGGTCCCTCAGCCTGGCCGGCGATCAGGCCAATCGGGGCCGCAGGAGGTTGGCTGGCTGCGGGGAGGGACCATGGGAGGTTGGCCAGTTGGGGAGGTTGGCTGTGGGAGCACACTGACCACCAGGGGGCAGCTCCTGCGTTGAGCGCCTGCTCCTGGTGGTCAGTTCGCTTCATAGCGACCGGTTGATTGGTCGTATGGTCTTTCAGTCGCTTAGGCTTTTATATATATAGATGTTATTTAGACGTGTGATGTCCTTTATTTTAAAACGCAATAATGGATATAAGGGTAAGAACTGACCTGAGCTAACCACACACTTGGGCAGCAACAGCAGTCATTCCCACGAAGCCACCCAAACCCCACTGTACAAAAAGGGCTCCCTTGCCTGTAAAGAAGTTATCCAAGGGTCATTTCACCGCTCTCACCTTTTCGTTGGCCATGGAATGGTACCACCAGAACAGCCGTGTGGTGATGTAGTAGGCAACGATGACATCCACCGTGTAGTGCTCGTGAGCCACGAGAATGCAGATGATCCCGGCGGCGCTCAGCAGCCAGCAGACTAAGTGATACCACCAGAAGTGACGAGGCGAGTCTGCAGGGGGGAAAACGGGAGTAATGAGGTTCCCGGAGAGGCGCTCAATGACTAGTCTGTCCTACCGGCCTTAATCAGGATAGCCCGAGGTCAACAAGTCTCCGGAAGGAGAAAACCAATAACCCAAAACGCGGGGCTGTGAACAGCCCAGGGCTCGCTCAGGTAGGAAGGAAGGGGGGAGGGGGCGCCACAGGTAGCAAGTCTAAAAGTCAATGACACAATCATTAATAACCCCACTGTCTGTGGGAGCCTAGCCCGGCTGTCAATAAATAGAGACAGTGGACTTTGTGTGGTAGCAAGGTTAACAAAATGTTTTCTCCACCAGCAAGACACAGAGTACCAGGAGCCAGGCTGATGTCATAGGAACCCAGGCCCAGTGGTAGTATCTGCACAGCTGGGTGAGGCCCTCTGTCGTTAACCTCAAAGTCGTCCTGGTCCCATGTTTTCTGCTCACATGACTGAATTCAAATCCACTCATGACAATGGGACAAATGAGGAGAGTCCAAATTGGTCAAAAGGCGGGAAAGCAAAAAATATATAAATGATGCATCTAATTCCAGAAGCAGGCTGTTCAAAGAGACCACTGGAACCACTGCTTACTCAGGACAATAGCACATGTATAATTTAGAAACTGGCTGTTTTTCCCAATTGCACGGGAAACGGGCATAAACAGGGAGTGCCCTGTTTATGTGGCGAGCTGACTTTAAAGTTGAGTTGTATTAAGGTAACAGATTTGCCATTTTACTTCCCATCAAAGATGGGAACAAGGAGAATGTAATTCTTTCCTTGCTGTATGTAAACTTACACAATTTAAAAAACCTCATGCCAGCCCTGGCTGGGTAGCTCAACTGGTTAGAGCGTCATCCCACCAAGGTTGTGGGTTTGATCCCCAGGCAGGGCACACACAAGAAGCAACCAATGAATGCATCAATAAGTGGAAGTGGAACAACAAATCCCCCCCCCCAACCCCCCCCCCCTCTCTCTCTCTCTCTCTCTCTCACACACACACACACACACACACACACACCTATCAATTCCAATAGAATAAGGGCTCCCACTACAACAACCCATCAAGCGGGAATGAGTTACTTACATTCTTTGATGAAGAGATAAGTTAGTGTCAGCACGACCGTGTGACCGCTGAAGAGGAAGTCCCCGCACAAGATGTGCGACCCGGTTATGGACAGTCCTCCCCCGGAAATCAACCGCAGGATCCGCTGCACTTTTGCCTGAGAGTCTCCATTGAGCTGAATGACACAAGAAGACCAGGAGGAAACTTTACAAGCGGGTAAAACCGTGTTTCAGCCTAATTTATGTGACACTCAGAAAGGTCACCAGGCTGTGACTTTTCTTTTTAACTTAAAAAGACAAAAAAATCCCAGGGGGAAGTTCCCCAAACTGGGTTTTATTCATTGTATTGGCCAGTTTTTGTGACAGGTTTTGAATTATTCAATATGTTACTAATAATACATTTTGGCGATGTCGTATCCTTGAGCAAAGCTTTTAAAAATATTAATAACAATGACCTCACCACAGTTATGTGCTAAAAAAGATCAAAGCTACCTTCTTCCCTCTTTGCCGGGAGATGTCATGGTTTTGATGGCTAATATTTGATTTAGCTGAATAGCACCTTACTAATATCGAACAGTGTGTTCATACCTCGCGTTAAGTGGGCAGCCCGAGTGTGTGTATGGCTGTATTAATATTTGATCAGACACAGTTAAAAAGGGAAGCTGCAACACTTTAAATAAGTTTGGAAATAATGTATTAGCAACGTATTGATAGCTTTAAAAATGAGTAGCCCTGATCAGGCAAAATATCCCTGAAGATATAACCTGTGTGCAACAGGCAGGAAAGGGCCCCTTGGGCAAAGACGCAGAAGCCATCATGCTGGTATGGGGAACAGTGATGGGCCGGGCAGGAGTTTGAGGCAACCGTCCAGCTTATAGCCATTAAAATGTAAGCCTACAAGGAGGAGTGGGCCGAGCTGCTTAGTATGGTGGGTGCACAAAAGTGGAACACTGACATTCGGGGAGGCCAGAGGGAGGATTTAAGATCAATCTAGAATAAAATGACTATGTTTACAAAAATAAAGGTGATACTCAGAAATAAGACTAAGCCACAGCACATCCGAAGAGAATTACAGACAGAGCATTAATGACTATTTTGGGGACCTGGGGAATAGCTGAATGACAGGCGGCCCTTTGTACTCAACGCCGACGCTCCGGGCAGCTGTCCCCACAGCACGACCAGCTCGGCCACGCTGGCGGTTCGGCTGTGTAGTGGTAAAGACAGGGGAGTCTAGTCCAGGTGGATGTGTGGTGGTGCAGGAGGGGAGACGTGTACAGATGGATGGGAAGAGAGTCTAGGTCGGAGCAGGGAAATTAAGGTAGCCTCTAGCACGTGGAAACCCACCCAATC